TTCAAAAATAGAATCACACAAAAATTTTGAGGCTAAAATAACCGTCCCTGATATATACGCTTCCAATCAAAACTGTCTAAAATTGTTAATATTTTTAAATCCAGCATAAAAAACTATGCTAGAGTACCAAATTTGTCTTTATCTCAACACGTTTCGGAAATATTAAGGAAAAACCATCTTCAGGGGAGCCCCTTTAAAAGACCGTAGCGCCGTTAGGGGACGTTTGTCGACCTATGTTTATATAAACTTTTCTTCCTATTTTAAGCTCTAGAAACCGCTGGTAGAATATTGCACACTTTTTTCGGGACACCCTGTATAGCTGATTTTCAAAATAATATTTTTGGTGATAATGTTTTCAGTGTGTTTAGTATTAGAGTATAGAGTTTTTTATGTTTTTGTTGAATATATTTGTAGTTTTATGAAAAAATCTGAAGTATTTTTCGGCTGCAGCACAAATTTCAATCACAACTTTTGATGCCTTTACTAAAGAGCCATACTGTTTTCTTTGTTGTAGTTTAGAAATGACAATATCACCCTCCAAAAGACTGCAGCACTTTGAACATGTGACAGATTTCTTCAAAACTTTGACAACAAATCCTGAAATGTAGGCTACCACATCTTCAGCATATATTGTTAAGTCCCAAGCAGATGAAGAAAAACCATATTTTGATATGTCTTCACTCACATCATCTTTAAAATCAATGAATTCCTTACTGTTTAATACATTTTCTCCATATTCATCTAGTGTAACCTGTTGTCCACTACCGCAGGACAAAATTGTCAGATTTTCTGAATGAGATATGTTTCCCGTAGATGGACCTGAAATCTCCGTGTGTACAAGTAATCGTTTATATGCGGCTTCTAAATGACTTGCTGAAGGATTGTTATTGAAGCCTCCTTTACCCCGAATCGCACCAAAGAATAATTCAAGATTATCTTGGGATAATTTGTTTGTCAATATGTATTTCATACATTTCAGTTTCTCTACATGGGTGCTATACAACTTCCTAAGACTTTGGATACAAATCAAAAATCCCAAAAATCCAGTTTTTCTTGGTGAATCTAAAACTGCAACGTCAGTCAGCTTTAAATTTGAGATATAAATGATTACTTGATCTAAAAACTGGAAGAAAGTGTGGGCGGTAGAGGGGGATAAAGGCCTCCTGTACATATATTTTGCAAATCTGTTCCGGGTATCGAAGACGTCGAATAGATTGTTAAACATCTGTACAAAAATAGACGGTAATTCGATCTGCGAAATCCTGAGGACGAAGGCCGTGATGCAAGCATAGGTGATATGGATGGTACCTATGCTTATGAATAATCTTTTGGACAGAAGTTCTGCATATATCAGTTCCTGCTACAATTTGGCGTGCACTTAAATAGGGATTTTCCTGCAACATTAATAGAACCTCCAACTGATTCGCCTCATTGGTGACACTGGGATTATTTATACATTTTTTACTATATTCCATTGCTCCACTTGATTCAAAATGTTGTCGTAGTGTGGAAATGTTTCCGGCCTTGGATGTCGCATATTAGGGTACCACCCAAAACGAACACCATATTTACCATTTCTTCTTTAGAAAAAATTATTTTCAAACACGTTTTTATTATAATGCTGACAAAGCTAATTTTGACAGTTGGTAACTAATTAACAATATATTTGTTTCCAAGGATGATGCGATATGTTAGGGAATTAAGCCGTTCCATAAAAGACGTGCTAATAACCGAAAAAAATGGCCGGTAAAACCTTTATATGTCTAGTATCAAAAGAAAGCTTATAAAAAATTAAATCCAAACTTGCACAAATATACAGGGTGATGCATTTGAAAGTTTTGAGAAAAACTACAATTTGCATTTTTGACCAACCTGTACGAGCAAAAATAAAAAATCGAAAAAGTAATAAATAAGATAAAAGCTGAGGTGTGTTAGTGTTTTTTGATACAAAATTCAGCACTCCAAATTTCAAAATGGCGGACTGAGGGGTTGCCAAATTGGGGGGTTTTTCTGCACAAAACACCTTATACCTCAATAGCTAATTACCAAAACCCCATAGTATGTTATATCAATTTTCTTCATTTGAATTGGTTTATCTAAATATGCAATAAAATTTGAGGCATTCTATTTGGAAAATCACAACTTTGATATGTAGGTCGAAATTGGTACATCTTGTATAAAGGCCAATATTTTCGAAATGTGCCCTTAAATGTCGTGTATAACATCCCATAATTAGATTTTCCCAAAATGTATTTGTTTATGAGTAATATTCCGTTCACACATGGATGGGCCACCCTATATACAGGGTGACTTCGAAGTTGAGTCATTTATTTTAACAGTGAGTAGATCTGATCAAAAGAAATGTTTTTTTCCTTTACCATTTTTCTGGTAAAATTAAAGTAACAAAGTTATAGCCCTTTGGAAGTTTGAGTACCGCCCTGTCTCAATAATATCATGTGTTCGTGTTTGGCAACAACGGTTCATCGCATCGGAAACAAAAAAGCGAAAGAATTTGGAACGATGTTTTTACGATTACAATTCAGTTCAGTTATACATACAGTCAGTTTCAGTCGCGTGTGAATAGTGTCTGTTGCGTGGCTCAAACGAAATAAAAAATGGCACATGTTTATGCGGATCGGTTTCCCAATCGAGTGCAACCAACCCCTCGTGCCTTTGTTAATGTAGTACAACGGGCTCGTGAATCAGGTGACTTAAGACCTCACAGGAGACCTCACGATCAAATACAGGTCCGCACTGAAATACTTGTCGGGAGGATACTTTATAAAACAAGGTAAATTTTTTTTTTAATTTTTTTTTTTATTTTTACACACATATTTTGGTTTATCTTCCTTCTACAATCATTATCTGAAAATTAATGACTCAACTTCAAAGACAAAACACCTTATATCTCGGTAGCTAATTACCAAAACCCCATAGTATGTTATATCATTCTTCTTCTTTTGCATTGATTTATAGAAATATAATAATATATTTATATAAATTTGAGGTATACCATTTAAAAAATCACAACTTTGATATGTAGGTCACCCATTAGGACACCCTGTTTAATAGCCAATATTTTTATGTTATATCATTCTTCTTCTTTTGCATTGATTTATAGAAATATGTAATAAATTTTGAGGCATACCATTTAAAAAATCACAACTTTGATATGTAGGTCACCCATTAGGACACCCTGTTTAATAGCCAATATTTTTGAAATTTGCCCTCAAATGTCATGTATAACATGCCATAAATAGATTTTCCCAAAATATATTTGTTTATGAATAATATTCCGTCCACACAAGGATGGGCCACCCTATATATATACAGGGTGTCCGCAAAGTTGGCGTTTTCCTTTACACGACGTGTAGATCTTGAAAACATAAGCAATTTTTCTTAGTACCATATACACCAATGTCTTAAGGGAACCGAGATAAAGGGCTCTGCAACATCAAAAAAATCTGAATACCATCCTGTAGCCGCGACATCCCCGACTGGTACTAGGACACTAGCTCAACTCGACGACAGAACTGGGTCGGGGTCAGTGTGTCAGGTCAGTATGCAACCTTCAACCGCCGGTTACGATCACGCGTGTAGAGTTAAGCGCTTAGACGAGAATCCCTCAACAAGCACTAGAGACGTGGCTAGAGAAGTGCAAGTATCAAAAAATAAAGTGTGGCAAACGCTGCGTGAAGAGGGGCTGTATCCGTTTCACGTCCAACGTGTACAAGCCCTTCAACCTGACGATTTTCCAGCAAGAGTGCGGTTTTGTGAGTGGTTGTTGCATCAACATGACAATAATCCGGACTTTTTGAAGTGCATATTGGTGACAGACGAATCTACGTTCACGCGTAATGGGGTGAATAACTTTCGCAACACTCATGTTTGGTCACTAGAAAATCCGCACGCTGTCCGTCGGGCACATTTTCAACAAACATTTTCGGTGAATGTTTGGGCTGGCATGGTGAACGGTATGCTCATTGGACCATTTATTCTCCCAAATCGATTGGACGGGATGCAATACCTAGACTGTTTACGCAACATTTTGCCTTCCTTGTTTGCCTGCGTCTGCTCGGTAGCGAGTCAGCTGATTTCATTTTCTGTTGGAGTGGTATGATTTCGGGCAGAGACGTACTTAGCCCTTCTCGTCAACTGGAGAGTGAGTACTTTTTCCTTTATTTTTTTTTACTTGGTCGCCCTCGTTTCACTACACATTACCTTTGTTATTTCAAGGGTAGTTGTTTCTGAAAAGGAAAACCCCAACTTTGCGGACACCCTGTATATATATATATACAGGTGGCCCATCAACACACAAAGCTGTACGAAACTGAACTTGCTTCAATATTGGATATACGGCTGAGAATAACAAATATTTGTAGAAATATCGATGTTACTATGTTTGAAAATTACGGACCGACCGGCTGTTACGAGTATTGTGCCAAGAAGGTCCAGGCAACCATTTCCAGCATCTTCTAAACTGAACTCAACGTAATTATTCGAATTATCAAGTTAAATGTCAATGTATTCAGTTCATTATTAAATGTATCACCATTTTGTAGTAGGTAAAGGTATGTTTATTATTCTAGGGTTATAAAGTACTCGTCAGGAGCTTCAGAATGAAGTGCCACAAGATCCCCATTTCCATATAATTTTTTTTCCAAGATGGTGCCCAGCGGCCATCTTTACATTATCATCTGTCAGTTTTACTCTAAAATATGATATCCACGCATCAATTTCATTACCTCAAGTTTTAACTTTATGAATTGATCCGTTCCAAAAATGAAAGAGGAGGGGGACATTAAAGAAAAGCACTGTATATATATATATATATATATATATATATATATATATATATATATATATATATATTACGATACGATATATGTATTGCATTCGCTGATTGTAGGCTAGGTGAAAATGAAGGCTTTTTATTATTATCATTATTATTATTAAGACTTCAACTGCTTAACTTCATATAGTTGATGCAATCTCATCGAATGAGGAACAACATAATGTTGTAGCGTAATCATGGAGAAAATCGGAAAGGGTATAATTTTAAAAAGCGGAGAGCTGAAACGTGAGATCGAAATTCTAATTTTGCCACCGTGTAGATGAGAAAAAGTGATAATGTTATTGTGTAATTTGTTTGTAATTTGTACACAATTTGGATGTTTGAACAGTTTTACTCTGGTCTAAATCCAGGAAAAAATAAAAGTGATTTTGGCATAAATCTGATATGAGAAACAAATGACTATCTGATAATCTCAAGACCTTCCTAGGAAATTCTGCTTATTTGAAATAATCAAGTTTTGGTAATGTCAATGTATGACGTATTATACGTTCTTGGAAACAGAATTATATATTTGTGCAAAAAACCGATATGGCGTACATAAGAAAAAATAAAGTTGATGCTGCAGGACCAGAGACGAAACGTCGTATTGAAATTGCAATTATGCCATCTTGTCGAGGAGGAAAAGTGACAATGCAAATGTGCAATTTATTTTGAGATCACGCCACAAATAAAATCAGAAAAAATTCAAAACTGTTTTGGGAACATTCGGTGTTTCGTCTCTCTCCGGCAGCACTTTGAATTTCGAAACTGTTTTAGCGGTATTTTGTTAACCACCTAAATATGCGACTTAGCCCCCTTTTAGGCGACTTCGTATCTATATCAGTTTCCGAGATTCCAATGGTGAGGATAGAATTTGAAGCTCCCTGTATATAGTGAAAAGATACACATGAATCACGAAATAATGAAAACTATTAAATGCACAAACATTAATTGTGTAACAGCTGGTCTGAAATAAATATATAACATGCATTACTCACCCAAATCGCGTCGGCCGTTGTGAATTTTGGCACTGCAAGCAAGTCAGTTATCAGTTGTTTCTCTAACGGAACTCGAACTGCAAATTGTTTATATATCGGTTAAACATCATTTTTAAAAAGAAACAGCTAAATGGGATAAAGAATACGGCAGAAATCACACGGGAAAGGCTGAATTAGAGGTATGTCAGTCGCGTATATAGAACTTATAATAATAATAATATAATAGACGTCTTTATTTATTAACAATTACATTGTAGTATAGCCAAATGTCAGACTTACATGGCGAAGTTTAGCATGCTGCTACTCTTACACTTAACCATATAGTCTCTAGCAGATGTTCAGAAGAATACACTATCCACAAACAGATTTGGTTCATTACATCGAAAGTAAAATTTAAAAAAAGAGAAAAAGGCATACTTTCCAAACCCAAATGCACCAAAAAATTATTAATCTGAATTAAAGATGATTGCGAGTGGGCTTTGCCGGGCTGCAGGTTCCTTCTAAGACTTCGAAGTGGCCGGCCACAAAAAAATATTGGAAAGAATGTCATTTTGCCATTGAAAGAAATGGCGTCAAGTAAGTTGACTTTGTACTTCCCATGCAACGTTGTTCGTAAAGGATTACGTTTGGCACAAGTTAGCCTTCTGAGACAAAAGTTAGCTAGCTCCCCACTGCCTGCAACCCGTAAGAGTCAATTTTTAGCACCTACAAAATTTTTTTACAAAATTATCAGGATTGTCTGAAACGTCCAAAAACGAAGTTTGAGTGTTTTTTTTGTTGTTTTTGGCATTTTTCCCCGCCGTCACTCAGGCGTGGGAAGTAAAAACACTCAACTTTGACAACCTGCAATTTTCACAATATAGTATTCATGTATCAATTTCATTGTTGCAAATTTCAGCGTACTAACTCAATCCGTTCAAAAAATAAGTAGCGGTGAGGCTTTACAAAAAGCACTGCATATTTAAACAACGCTGACATGGTTTCCCGTCTTTCCAAACATTTGACACACAGTCTGGCATAATCACAATAGAAATCGTAACTTCGGCAGGTACATGTAGTGATGTTATTTATGTTGAAACTACCGGCGCTTAAGATCAACCGGAATTATGTTTTTCTGAATACATACAAGATATTTGCGTATCAAAAGATAGTGCTTTCCATCATAAATGTCATTCCTACTTATTTTTGGGCGAGTAAAGTTAGTAAGCCGAATTTCGGTTCGATAATATTGATGTACGGATTTTGCTTTAGCGTGAAAGTGACAGTTGCATTGACGGATCCACAGGAAGGAAGAGGTGAACGGGGTGAGAGGAAAAGAAAAATGTGCTAAAAGTTCACTAATATCTTCTTGTCACAAGGGCAGCTGCACTGATTTTAACATGGCGGCGGGATCTCCGCTGAGAAAAACCCATGTATGCGCTTATGTTGACTCAGATAAGTGTTATAGATCCAGGGTTAATCGGTTTGTACTATTTAATAGGTTGAGGAACCCGATGATGGACACATAAGGACTTAATCAGGAATAAGAAATGGAAAGAAAACATTTTTATGAAAATTTAACTGGTCTCCAAACTCCCATGCATCGTGCCCATGATTCATGGTAGAGATAGATAAAGCTTGACATCTAAGCACATTTGCCCGCCATTTGGTAAGTATGAAAATTACTCGCTTGCAAGCTTTCACAGACTATTTTGGCTCTAATAAAAATGTCTGGACACCAAAAATGTAAGAAAATAAAGAATTACATTTCTTTTAAACTCCATAATAGTCTTTTACCATATATAAATTGGCGTACGTGATGTATGGTAGATAAGATGGTTTATAGTCAAAATAGAGCCATAATTTCATTATTTGTGAAATTATCATGTCCAAAAATATAACGTACATCACAGTTTTTCAGAACCAAAGTACAAATGGACCAAAAAGAAATGAAATAAAGAATAAATAAGCATATGTAGCACTTACGTTCTGATATCTAGCAAATTGTTCCACCAAACGCACTGCCACTGCACACAACTGTAGTTTCATGATTGGGCGTCAACAGGTCTTTGCATACTGAGATGGGTGGGGGACTAAGCTTTCGTTCTAGTAGGTGCTATGTTCCAGGAGAATTAGATATTGGAAATTCGGTAGTCGATTTTTTTTAATTAAAATTGATTTTAATAAATGAATATTCCTAATCGTAATAATATGTTTTTAATGATTCGATTGTATAAATTACCCATTGTAATCGATTTTTGCATACAGAGATGCAAAGAGTCGAAGGAAGTTCCCATAAAGACAAGCAGCTTTTCGGAAACTTAGATGAAACACAAAAAACAATCGTAGGTATTTCCGTAATAAAGGAACAGGAGCAAAATTTTTTTTGGACAACCTTTTTTGAACAAATTCAGAAAATTTTGTTTTTTCCTCCGGTCAATGCCTTTGGGTTTTCTGGGTTTTCCTGAACAAACCATTGAGCGAATGCTAGATTAACAATGGAAAAACTAATGCATATAGTAACAATACGTCCTGAAATGCTTCAGGGTTTTGTTAATCGATGTTTGAAGAATATTTAGCAGCATTGGCAACTCATTCCTACGGGGTCGAAAATTATATTTCGCAATTTTTTAAATATCGTAATGCTTACATTTCGACAACTATCAACTGTAGAGGAAAGTTCTAGAACAATACTTTTGTTAAAAAAAAACGCACCTTGAGCGCAGCAAAAAAGTATACTTTGGAGTTTGTTAAAAAATGTAGTCAAACATTTTTGGCGCAGATTCTGCCCTGGTTAGGTACTAGTGATGATCGAATTTATCATAGACTTTTTCTAAGTTCAACTAGATTTGATGCAATATTGCGTTTAAATCGAGGCTACAACTAACAATAAACAGTACAACGGCACAAACACAACCCACATTTTTGACAAAGTTAATGTCCGGCGACGGGCCGACGGTAATGTTAGAAGCCGAACATCGGCTTTGGCTTCGACTACTACTGGTGGTTGGTTTTCGTCCTTCCATATTTGAAACCTCGATTCCAGCATTTGACTATATAGGGTGTCGCAATATCAGGTGAACATAGGAGTACCACGTATTTTTGACTCAAAGTAAGTCGATTGGACATGATTTATCTTTGTGCAACAGTGCTTCGTTTGTCTATTAAAGGGCATCAAAGTTTTCTTTTTGAAATACATGTTTTTCAGATATTTTTGGAACCGGTATAATGTAAACGGGGCGGCAGCACTCCAAACGTGTGAGAAGTACTCGAGGCTAGGTCTTATCTGGGCCTTGTACACAGTGAGGAAGTCATGCGGAGTAAAGTAATTATTAGCTCTCAACAGATAGCCTAGTTTTACCCGGCAGCAGTCACTATTGACGAGTTGTGTTCATCCCAGGACAAAACCTCGATTGTCTGAACTCCGACCAGCCGAAATGAATGGCTCTATATTAGAACTCGGCCATACATCGAAATCGGATGAGCGCTAGGACGCTTTTTGTTCGTTAAGGTACAATGCTACGTTTTGGAATCATTAAACTGTGACCCGCAGTGATAACCTCAAGGTTTCTCTTCAGAAAGTCGCTTCTAGTCTACTTTTCTACAGCTCACCAGCAGAGGTCGACACGGAATAATTGCATTTAGAGTGTTGTCATCCGCAAAGCTGTGTATTGCTTTGACCGTACCAAAAAGGACGTCTTTAATATGTAGAAAGAATAATGTCGGAGCCAAGACCGATACCTGGGGAAAACCCACGTTGACGTTGTGATTTTAAGATTCTACGAGCAAATGCCTTTCTGATAACTGAATAGCAGGGAGGCAGTTGACGCTGGCTGGTTGGTCTTAATTTGCGCAGTGAGGGAGTCATGACCAGCCTGGATTCACCTCTGATTAGGAATGTTTGCGCCCCCATGACACTGCGCCCTGTGGCGGGCGCCTCACTTGCTTACCATCTGTAGCCGGTAACAAAAACAACCCAAACCATGGAAAATAGCGCTGCTATTTGACTAGTTGACCTGTACTATCATTGCGCAGTGTAGATTTGGCCAGTCTTATCACATGCTGTGTAAGCACGCCTCCGAAGCAAATTAACAACCAACGTAAATATATAAAGAAAACGTTTAAAAAAACATGCTTTTATTTAGCCGTTAATGAAGCGAACTGAAACTTGAAAATATTTTCTTCTCATGCACATATCTGCTTGAACGAATTTTCTGTGATGTTACTTTCTTGTCTATCTAAATTATATCAATGTGCATTTTGGGTATTCATAAAGTGATTGATAACTCGGGGACACATCTGTGCATTTCATGAGAAAGTGAGGGCAGTTTACATAATGAAAAAAAAGTCAAAGCATTTGTGGATCGAACCATTGCAACCCATAAGGCTTACAGCCTCCCAAAAAAATGTATCCTGAGAATGGGCGAAGCGCCGCATAGGGGCACATGAACACACAAAAAGTTAAACATATGTTCGAATAGAGATATAACAATATGGGATAATCAACTGTAATCGGGATTCAAAACATCAAGTAACTTACAGCGGAAAGAGGTTTTTTGGTAGAGTTTTCCTGAGACATCGGCTTGCTTTCACTAACGTTAACGACTGTCCAGCTCTCCCACCTGTAGAATTGGTAGGTGTTTTTTCATTTAATAATATGGATAAAATCATTTGTGGATCTGTTTGTACATATCCTAAATTGTCCTTTTTAAATGCGACTGCACTGAACGAGTGACCATCTCTGTCTGACCTCTCGGTTCATGATGATCGTTCGGAAAGAACAGGTACAGTTCTGTGCTTGGGATTCGAGGGAAAATACCTCGTAAGTTTTCTGTTCTTGGCACTTAAATTCTTAATTTCCTTCTGGTCATGATTCCACTAATTATTCATAGAGTGGCTATTTACATTCTTGTAACATAATTGTGATGAAATCAGTTCAATTTCATCCTTGATGGTTACTGATTTCGCTGACAGAGTAACTCCACTAAACAACCCAGTCTTTTTTTTCTGAAGTTAAGTTTTTGTCTTGAGAGTTAATAAACGGATTACACTCAACTCTCGATAATCAGAAATGTAGTTCAACCCTTACTTACACTTAACCTCAACCCAGTGTCTTTCAGTTGAGCATATTCAGTCTAAAAATGAAGTGTCTAGAACAGTGCTAAAAGTCATAAGTGAAGATCTTTCTGACCAGTTTTTCAAACATTAAGTATATAAATAAGTGTGAAATCAACTATGTGAGTAACTGACCTTAGTGCGCTCCGATCTTAAGAAGCCTTCTCAGCGTAAGGTAGTAAATAGGTAAGTTACCTTTCTCAAATCACCTGATAAATTGATATTCGTCTTATTAACGGTTCCTATTACTCAGCTTCAACCGCACCAAGCTCTCAACAACATGAACTTCAAGTTATAATCGGAATGTCCTCTCGAATTCCGGTCTATCCTGGTGATAATCGTGATTAGCGAATTTCATCGTGACCAGCTTAGCTAATTAATCAATATATTTGACTAATTAGTCAAGTACATTTCACTAACAAATAGCAATAACGGCCAATCAGTTACAATCGGGAGCATCTGGAGCACCTTGAGGGTCACGGCTTGATTAGCGACGAGCAGTAAGGTTTCCGGCACCAGACATCCACGGGAGACCTCGTAGCTTACGCCACGCAGCTGTGGAGTAAATCAATCCAATCTTATGCTGACGCTCATGTCGTTGTTCTTGATATCACGAAAGCGTTCGATCAGCTGTGGCATGCTGTCCTCTTAAATAAACTTCCTTCCTATGGCCTCCCAGAGAAGCCTTGTAGATGGGTGGCTGACTTGCTCACTGGCTCGACAATCTCAACACGGGTGTTCCTCAGGAATCCCTCTTGGCTCCGACATTGTTCCTCTTAGAAATCAACGACCTCATATCCTGTAGATACAGTAAATCCGTCCACAGCTTTGCGTATGGCAGCACTCTACTTGCAGGAATTCAGAGTGGAGAAAAGAAGACAAGCAGCGACTTCGTCGATGACGAGAGATCTGAATATTTTCACTGCTTGGGGACGCAACAATCTGGTATACTTTAATGCTTCCAAAACACAGTACCGTACCTTAAGTAACAAGAAGCAGTCTAGTGCTCATCCGGCTTCGATGGATGACCGAAATCTACCAAAGAGCCGTTTATTTCGGCTGGCCGTAGTCCAGATCACTGAGGACTTGCTATGTCAATGAGCTTTGCTCCTCAGAGTTCTCCTCCATGTTGCCGCCGCGCGATATGCCTGCCAGGCAGACCCGCTCGATTTCGGCCTCTAATACTAGCCGTGTCAAACTTCTCTTTTCCCAGATCTAATAACCTTCGGCAGTTGAGAAATCGATTAACAATCATAACAGCCGCGGTACCCTGGTATTTATTCCTCCGCCCACGCGGCTGCTTCAGTACAAAAAAAACAGATGTGAAAAGCTCAAGTTAGTAGTGAAAAAATATTTGGGATCAATGGGACTAATACACTTCCTCGCCTTTCTCACGAATTGTCCTAACTGACAAAATACCAAAAATTGAGATACACCGCATATAGGTGTATTATTCCATGCCGATTAATCTGACGAAGAGGCATAACTATATATCTATTAGTGTGTTGCATAACACTATTTACCCCTGGGTGGCTTATCTGCAAAGGTAAATACATAATTCCCACGAAGAGACCTGAATGACGATAGGTCTCTTAGTGTGCAATAATCCTTGTTAGTATACGCACCTCGGTGGTCGAATCATGGCCAAAGTGAGGGAGATTCTGCCCACAGTGCAATTCATACTGCGATAAAGGGAGCTGGAGATCTGTTTGAACCCTCACACCTCTATCCGGTTTTTTGATTGACCAGTAGACGTCAACCTTATTTAGTAATCCCATTGAATTTTTTTACTTCAAGAAACTTTACAGATTCAAGAATGTTGTCCACACGGCAAACTGAGAAAGGGCAAAATATTGAATGGACGGGTATTATTGAGTTTATGGTAAAAAAAGACATGCCCACCAAAATAGTCTAGTCACCACGATACA